ATTCATCATGGCACATTTCCCCCGGCCCCGCCGTTAGTTGTTTTTTGTACACAACTGTTAAACTATAAACCTGCGCAGTATACAGGGGAATTGCATGTGGTCAGCTGTATATTAAAATAATTAAACCTAAACTCTGGGCACAACAACTTTCATTGATATGCAGTGGTGTATTTTGGTTTTGTGCTGCCCTAGGCAGGACTAAACTCAGGCACCCCCAATCTAAATTTGCCCCACCCCATCCTGTTTAAGACATTTTGCATAACATGTCAGTCACTGGATACAGCACACATGCTTCTGACAGGTTGCACTATTAGCCTAGCGAGGAAGCCCACTGCGGATTTTGCTTATCCTGTCAGAAGCTAGATACAGCGAGCGCCTGTTTAAATAGTAACATATGCACACTGTTTCACTTCTGCCAGCATTGGAGAGGAGGCTGAGCTTGTCGGTGGATTTGGGTAAGGATCATTTATTTATTTCTCATAATGGCAGATAAGGGCTCCGACTGACTGGTTTGGGGGTGGCGTTTTTTGCCAAATGCCTAGTTTGTCTTGCAGTAGATACGCCTCTGCTTAAATGTATTGCTCAATAGCCACAAAGGATGAAAATCCACTTGTGCACCAAATGCCTTTGCAAACCAAGATTACTTTGCAAAAGTAGTGGTGACATCATCACTGTGCTGTACGGAGAGCAGAGCTGTGGGAGGGACCTAACAGGCTGCCTGCAGAAAACTACAGGGGGGGAGACCAGACTAGTCACCCTACACAGAAAAGGTGTTGGGCCCCCCCGGCTCTTACAATGCCCGCACTGCCCATCTGACAGCCCCACTGACCACCTGAAAGCTCACACTAGCCACCTAAGAGCCCGCACTGGCCACCTGAGAGCCCCACCTATTCTGCATTATGGTGACTTGTATAGTTATTTAATTATTTATTACAATGTAATAATAATAGAAATAAAGTGCACAATAAATGCGCTTGAAATATCCCAAAATATCCCGAAACTTCACTAGGGTGAAGTGTGGTTTGAACATGTCAGTGTCTATATTTGTTTATCTTTTTGACACTAGAATACTACTACTAGATACTATTGGATGTATTCCTGTAAATGCTGATCATTCAAGCTGTTATAAGGATCTTGGGCCGGCATTGTACACTCAGGATAAAATAGTGATGGTCTTGTGGATCAAATAGGGAAACTATCAACTATCCTACCCACTGGCGGAACTACCAGGGTCGCAGCAGTCGCAATTGCGACCGGGCCCTGGCATTCCGCCTGCTGGGGGGGGGCCCAGCGAGGAAGAAGAGGGCCCCCCCATGGATCAGCAAGGTGTCCATACACGGACACGGGTGTCCGTGAATGGTGCTTGCAGGGTCCGCTGCGGCCGTACATTACATGTGAAGTTAGTTTGTACGGTCCCGGCCCTGACCCCCCTGTACAATTGTGATATTTTGGTACCTTCCTGTTCATGTGCAGGAAGATTTTTTCTTTTCTGGGGGCGGAGCTTTCTTTTTACTGGGCGGAGGTGAAGAAGATGGGGGGGCCCTTCATGGATTCTTGCATCGGGGCCCTGAGGTCACTAGTTACGCCTCTGATCCTACCTGTATACCTGTTATGGACTTGACCAATTTTGCATTTCTGCTATGGGCTCATTTATTCAGCAATAACTTTGTCATTACTTAAAGTGGACCTAAACACTCAAAAATTAAATTCTACCAATGCATCCCTCTATGTGTGATGTTTAATAATAACATGTCAGGTGTAAAATGCCGTGATTTTAAAATACTTACACTTGCAGAACATTCACTTCCTGCTTTGAAATGGCAAAATGACTTCAGTTTGCCAAAGCAATGCACACTGGGATTGCCTTGTCATCAGCAGAGCATTGCTGGGAAATCTCATCTGTGATCTTATGAGATCCCAGGGAAAAGCATTTTCCTCCCCTGAAATTATGTGCATGGTCACATGTCCTAGTCACATGTGCCTGAAATCCAGGAAGTAAAGGAGAGCTAGTAATCTGCCGTTACTAAACATGGTAACGGCATGGTAATCTGCCATTACTAAACATGGCAACATTATCTTGCAATACTTTTTAATTTGTTGATGTAATCTTTAGACAAAATAATGTATTTTTCCTGTTTTGACCAACATTAGGTTTAAAATAAGTAGTGTTAATATATCTAAAATAAGTTTAAATAATAGTTAAAAAAATAGATATAGAAAAATCAAACCTACATAGGGCTGATTGGGATTAACTAAGAGTAAAAAAATAGGTTAAATAGCAATATAATTATTCTAAATCTTTTTTTTTTTAATGGTAAGGATTCTATAACTGATGTTATATGAAGGAAACAGTATATACACAATGTAACAAAACATTGTTATATTGCTCTACTCAATGACATTTGCAGACTATTGGTCATTCTTACACAGGGGCTACTGCTATCTAGTACATAGCAGTTCCCGTCATCTTGACAGCAAGACGGCAGGAAGAGAGAAGCAAGAGATGTGCCCTAGAAACTTTGTTAATTTTTTTTAAGGTGTATCTCCAATGTTCAAGGTCCTCAAGTAGTTAATTACATATTTTGGAAAACTTCCCTATGCATGGTCCAAAAATGACATTGGATTAGAAATGATCCTATTTTACTTGCATTAGTAAAAGTATAAGTGCAATAGCTATGCCAAACTACAAAAAGAGTATTACTTTCTGCACAAAACATGATCAATATGCACAGCCACAGCTAAGGTATTCAATAGGACAGGAAGAAATCTGTGCAGTGGCATAACCAATGGCATGCAACCAGAAATCATCTAACAATATTTAATCTGCTTGGATCTGGCAAAAGATGAAATCTGATTGGTTGGTATGGTCTACAGAACAGGACATTTATGGTTGAATCTATGTTTATTGAGATGCAGCAAAGGTACATACAGAAATAACTACAGAGAGGGATATGAGCATACAAATATATAACTGACAACATGATATGAATCAGGTGTACTCGATCTACATGAACTCGATTAGGTGTATCCAAAACTGAGGTTAGACATGTGTGTAGTCCCAGGAGGCAGGGCCACCAGTTGAAATCATAGGATGGAGATAATGGAGATATTACTGTATTTGCTAAAACGCCAGAATTCTCCAAAAAGAGATGGCAAGCTCACAAGTGGCTGACAAATATAAAAGCAGATTGCCTGTATATAAAGAAAGCTTGCGTTGCTCCAAACCCGTCTAAATACAGTGGTACCTCGGTTCACGAACTTAATTGGTTCCACGATTCTGGTCGTGAACCGAATTGGTTGTGAACCGAATCACATTTTCCCATAGGGTTCAATGTAAATCAGATTAATCAGAACAATATGAAAGAAAAAAAAAATGACCACAAGTTTCTTTTTACCACCATTCTTGCTCTGCACATTCTTGTCACCTTCAATAACGCTCTGCAGATCCTTGTCACCTTCATTAATGCTCTGCACATTCTTGTCACCTTCATTAATGCTCTGCGCTTTTTTTACCACCATGCTTGCTCTGCACTTTCTTGGGAGCCATGCTGGATTGAATACAGTAATACTGTACAGCAGAGCTCAAAATTTCCACTCGCCCCCTCGAAATTTGCGAGTGAAAATTGCGTGGGGGCGAGTGGAAATGAAGCCATTGAGTCAGGCACTCAATTCCTCCTCGGGGCGGCTTCTCTCCTCCTCACCTCTCTCCTCCTCACCGACATGATGACAGCAGTCCCTCGTCTGTCCCCCCCCTGGGGGGTCGCAGGAGGGAGCGCTGCCTGCTGTCAGGATGGCCGAGCGGTGAGGGGGAGAGAAGCCGCGCCCCCAGCTGTCAGGATGGCCGAGCGGGGAGTCCCCCACGCATATTATTAGACATATGCGAAGACTAAAAATTAATTTCAGATGAAATGTGTATGTGTAATGCTCTGTGCGTTGTGCTGTGGCTGTATGTGTAATGCCCTGTGCAATGTGCTGTATATGTGTTGTGCTGTGTGCGCGTTGTGCCCTGTGTGTGTTTGTGTTATGCAGGGCAACTGGTGGCGAGTAACTTTGAAGGCCTGGCTTGTAGCTCAGGACCTGACATTTTGAGTCCTCCTGTACAGTACTGTGCTACAAAGCACACAAAAAAGCTTCACAGTAAGTGTGCTCAGCCCTGTCTGCGAACGCAATCTCGAGTACAGGAAGTCATGACCATGTGTCAGGGAAGATGGCCGCGATCGTGTTCATCATCCGAGGCAGAGTTTGTGAACGGAGGCGTTAGTGAACCGAGGTACCACTGTACCATGTATGGACTCATTGTGTTGAATAGCCTCAGCTAGGTGTTCCATCACTAAAACAAATCAAAGTAGGAAGGGAGGGCAGCCCTGTCTTCTTCAGTTCCCGATAGAAAAGGGGTCCAACCTCACCCAGTTAACAAACACACGGGCCAAAGACGACGAGTAAAGTGATATAATGAGTGTTCTAAGAACTGGACCAAGACCAAAAAGAAGGTCCAGCTAATCCGGTTGAATGCCTTTTCAGCATTAGAAGACAGGTCCTAACTCCATGTCGTCGAGCGAAATAAGCAGAACAGGACATTTAAAATTGTGCTGTTTTTTCCTCTACATGTGTTCAATGTTCACATGTTGGTGAACAAATTTTACCTAATTTTCTTCCTTATATTTCTCAGGAATGCACAGATGGCTATGAGTGGGATTCAGAGAGACAGCATTGTAAAGGTACGTTATACTACTGCACACTAGAATAAGGAAATCTAGAGCATTGCCAATATCACAGTCAATATAATATATAATTTCCCTTTTAAAATAGAAAAAGAGATTGAGGACACAGTCCTCAATCTCTTTTTCTGCAGCCCCTGTTATGAATGAACAGGAATCCTCTATACGAAGTGTTCCTGTTCATTCAATATACTTCGGCATGGTGCTCTGATGGGGGCAGCATCTTATAGAGACAGACACCTATAAAAAAATTAAAAATAAAGGTACTTGTAAATCAACTATTGTTGGCAAACATTAACCAACAGAAGACTAATCAGCTACCTCAAGAGGCAAATAACTTAACATGGGCTGACGTTTACATCTCGACAGCTGCTACAGAAATTGTCCCTGGAGGATGATGTAGAAGCCCACCTCTGCATATTTGAGAGGGTAGTGGGAAGTGAGAGGCTATCTGAGGTACCCAGTGGGCAGATGTGTTAGCACCCTTTTGAATGTCGGAGCCCCAAAAGGCCTACTTTGACTTGCCACCTCAGGATGCCAAGGAGTGTCCCATGCTCAAGTCAGACAGGCTTAGGGCTCTAATCCCTGCGTCCATCGGGTCGCTAATCCCTGCGTCCATCGGGTCGCTAATCCCTGCGTCCATCGGGTCGCTAATCCCTGCGTCCACCGGGTCGCTAATCCAAGAGTCCATTGGGTCGCTAAGCCCTGAGCCAAATTCATATACTCTTCTGCATTGGTGTATAAATGTATTGCTGGGATTTGCTGGGAGCGCTGCCTGCTGTCAGGATGGCGGAGCGGTGAATGGGAGAGAAGCCGCGCCCCCAGCTGTCAGGATGGCCGAGCGGGGAGGAGATCGGGGCTGCTATTATCCTGTCAGTTTCAGGATGACAGCGGCTCTGTGCGTGGCAGAGCGGGGGATCGGTTAATATCATTGATATTTACAGATCCTCCGTGTGAGGACAAACACTGGAGCGATCGTCTGATCACTCCAGTGTTTGTAAATAACTGGGGACACATAGTACTATGTGTCCCCAGTTATGAATGAGCGTGCTATGATTTACATCACAGTCTGTTCATTCAAGATTTCCTCAATGGGAAGAAGCACTCACTACAGAAACTGCTGATGTTTTCAGATGAAATGTGTATGTGTAATGCTCTGTGCATTGTGCTGTGGCTGTATGTGTAATGCCCTTAATGCCCTGTGCGTTGTGCTGTGGCTGTGTGTTGTGCTGTGTGCTTGTTGTGCCCTGTGTGTGTTTGTGTTATGCAGGGCATCTGGTGGCGAGTAACTTTGAAGGCCTGGCTCGTAGCTCAGGACCTGAAATTTTTAGCCCTGATATAGATAATATAGGTGATGTCATCACTACTCTCTCTGATGTCTTAGGGCAGTATTATGCTTCCACAGTACCAGCGAGGTTTAACTTTTTGGAGAAGCAAGGGATCTAATTGGTTGTTACGTTGGTGTGCTTGGTCCAGTTTTTTTTTTTTGCTTCACTGCCTTTTTTTCTGTTTAGTCCTTACCAACTTTATCTACAACTTCTGCAGATATCAACGAATGTGTGACAATCCCTGATGCCTGCAAGGGTGAAATGAAGTGCATCAATCATTATGGAGGTTATCTATGCCTACCTCGTTCGGCCTCTGTAATTAGTGATTCCCAGCCTGATCCTGGACCCGTTGGAAGCCCTCATGGTGGTGCTGGAACTGATCAAAGAAATAACCCATGTCCAAATGGGTACCAGCCCGACTCACAAGGACTGGGCACTTGTGTAGGTAAGGGAGGAATGAATCTGAGCATGGTCCTTTTCTTTCAGGGATTTCAAACTCTATTTTAAATAACAGCAAGAGTGCATGTTACCCTTTAACTTATTGAAACATTTGTGTCAATATAAATACTGCACATTGTGCCAGTGCATACAGCTATTACTCCAGGCATAGAAACATTTATGCTTTTTTTTCATCTTTAATCAATACACAAACAGACACAAAAAGACACAATGAGGGGAATTTATCAAAGCTGGAGCAGACAAAATATGGAGCAGCTATGCATGGCAACCAATCAGCATCTCTCTTTAATTTTCAAGCAACAGAACAAACTGAAGAGAGAAGCTGATTGATTGCCATGGGCAACTGCTCCAGATTTTGTCTGCTCCAGTTTTGATAAATTCCTCCCAATGTCTTTCTTTGACTACTTCAGGATCTCTCAAAGCTCCACTGCGAGCTCCTGATATGTACACTGGGAGCCACACTTCCAGCTCCTCGCTGCATCAAAACACTGTCTATAATCGACATCAGTTCCGGTGTTGTTCCTCCACCCACCTCACTCTTCTGTGCCATTTAGAAAACAGTGATGACGTTCTAGCTGTACATATCAGGAAGCCTCTGGGGAGCTTAGAGAGCTTCCAAAATAGTAAAAGACAGTTTACTATCAACAGAAGAGGGGCAGAAAGATGATTTGATCAAAGGTTTATCACTAAACTGTCATGCTACAATTGAGACACCACATGTTCTAAATCCTGAGTAAAGTTGAAATGAGGCGTAGGAGAGTTTTCTCTACATTGTATTCAGATGTTGAATGTTTGGTTACATTTTTCCAAAGCACATCTACAAAATGTTTAAATTAAATTAGGATAGTAAATAAGTTACATACTTTATTTGTCAAAATCTCATGTTCATTCTTAAATAATCCTAAATAAAGTAGAAGTATCATATTTTAAATGTGGCAACCCAACAACAAGTTTAGGCAATATAACAAGAAATTGAAATCCGAGGGAAAAGCCAATAACTATCAGAATTTGCCACCAACATGGTACTGTGTTCTTTTCACAGATGTAGATGAATGTACCCATGAAATAGATGACTGTCTGCCCAGTCAGGAATGTGTGAACATACCAGGTGGCTTCCATTGTAAGTGTCCAGATGGCTACAGGAAGATTGGAAATGAGTGTGTAGGTAAGTATAACCATGTATATTGCTATGACCATTTGATACTTTCCCTGCTGGATTTGCGGTTTCTTGTTTTATAACCAATATTGCACACAGCTGGTTCTTTGAAGCTTTTTCTACCTTTCCATATTTAATTTCTCCAAAACTAATTCTAATTTGATAAGCAAAGGCATTTCCAGAGTGGGCCTTGCCATACCTCATAACTTGAAGTACATTGCAACAATTTGTGGTATACAGAAATATATAAATGATGTCCTACTATTCAACCTCTACATCAGGGCTGGGCATTTTATGGCCCCCAGGCCCTATCCGCTCTGGTCCGGCCTGCGATTTGAACATGGACTGACTGCCGACTTATGCTCGGTTAAGGCTGGCAGACAGTGGATGTGCTGGCCTCCATGGCTGATGCATCCATTGCAAGCCATACCCCAGCGCAGGTTGGCGATCGTTCCGTGTCCGGACCGGGGTCCTCCTCAGTTTTTGGTTGTTCACATTTAGCATCCCTGCACAGCAGCTGTAACAGGAAAATTGAGGTTGTTGGTACAATGTCATAGCAACATTAGCAATAAACTCTTCACGATAAATTCCGTAACAAAGACTAGAGGACACCACCTAAAACTGGTAGAAAAAAAATTCAAACACAAGGGGCGTAGGGGATTCTTCTCAGTTCGCGCGGTTAGGGTCTGGAACTCACTGCCGCAAGCAGTGATTTCAGCTAATAGTCTGGAATCATTCAAGAGGCTTTTGGACGATTTCCTGAGAAACGGTAATATACAGGGGTACAAGTACTCCTAAAAACGAGATGACGCGAGGATCTTTACACCCACACACACACACAATGGGTTGGACTTGATGGACATATGTCTTTATTCAACCTCAAATACTATGTAACTATGTAACTATGTAATGTCTATCTGACAGAAGGTCTATTTCTGCTTATGGGCTTTAGGCTCAATACATTATTAAACAACTTCCTCTTATAAAAAGGAAGAAAGAGTTTAGACCTTTTATATAGTCACCCATTTTTACGTTTATTTTATGTCCTTCCAGGCACATAAACTATGTTTTACTGTATCTTAATTGATCAAAGATCTTCTACCTAGATTCGCCAATTCCGTCTGCTGTTCCATTACTTTTGCTATAGTGTTGAAACAACTGCTTATCAAGTGTGTGACGTACTCTCCATGGGAAATAAAGTACAACTCCAGCAATTTTTTGTTTTGTTTTGGCTGGCGTTAAAACCTCTTTCAGGTTTTCACATTTGAATGATTTTCCTTCACTTCCTGTTCCGGGGGCATAAAAGGAACTGAGTAGCTATTTCCCTAATATAAGGCAAAATCCCCTATTGACCAGTTGACCCAATTGTAAGGTTTTCCCCACTACTATGATGCTGGTGATGCCATGAAATGTTGGACTTCCTCTCTCTTTCTATTCCATTGGCAATGGTTGCCAAAACAAATGGTGTGGTTGCATCTCCCCACCAGCCTCAATAAAAAAAGAGGTTCTAACCCTTCCCCACTCTGTTCAACACTAAAATAAAATGTTCTTTATTAATAATCATGTACAATAATTTCCAAAACTTAGCTGTGCTAGCGTACATATATTGCCCTTACAGTATCTAAAGCAAATTTCAAGTTTATACAGTAAATGTTATTTATAGATTTGTTTATCAAACAACTTGTTTTTATTAGTCAGTAATTATAATTCTGAACATACTTATGAAATGGCCTCATGGCCTCATAATGGGAATTTGTTAAGCCTTCACTAAGCACTTAACTGTGGAAGGCATTTATAAAAACCTCATGCATTCTATATTAAAAAGGTTACAAAACAAATTGTCTATTCACTAGGTAGTACACAGTGTGCATCATGTTTAACCCTTAAATTAGTGGGGGGGGGGAGCAAGATCAGGAATCCTGACCTCCCCCTACAATGTTAGTTTCCTGGCTGCTAATTTGCTGGTTGTCTTTCTAACAAGTTTTTTTCATAAAGCCTGGGAACAAAATGATTGCTGGCAGGGAAAGCTAAAAGTTGTAAACAACAACAGTGTGGATCAGGGCGGAGTTGTTATTGATGAATGATGGAGGTAATTTAGACAGGAAATAGAGGTGGGCTCAACATAGCTGCTGCAGCTTCAAAAGGTTATAATGCAGAGATTCAAGTTTACGGAGAATTGAGAGAATTCAGTTTTAACACGGGAGATGACTTGCTACAAATGTGGGAACAAAAGCTGGAAAATTAGCCAGAGTTCAGGTTTAAAATAAATATTTATATGTGAGCTGTTTAACCTGCCCAAATATTTGTAATTTTACCAGACTTGATCTGGGCACTTATGCCTGCATAGTCAGACAAGTGCCATCACTATTAACTATTTCAGTTTTGCAGCTCCTGTGCCACTTACCTTATTAATGGACTATGTAATAGCAGCATCATCTGGAGTTGGTCCCGCCTTCTAAAATTTGCCTAAATACCTCTTCTTCTCTCTCCACCTTCCCACTGCTTGCCAAATGCAATATAGCCAGATTGGCTTACAGCACTCTGTCAGCTGGATATGTGCTGTGTAGGTGATTGTGGGAAGATCAAATAGATTTTAGGCAGTTTTACTCTAAATATTTAAATAAAAATGATTTCTTAATGGGAAGCAGTCATGAAATGCAGAAACTGACATTGCTGACCTCCTTATGAAAACTCTGCTTTCCTTGGTGTGTTTAGTTTCAATGCTTTAAAAGGAGACAAGCAGTTGGCATCCCCCAAAATTCTTCATCACAGGTTTTATTTAATAAATATGTAAGAGGAGTAAAAGGGTGTTTGATTTTTGCCTAAAGTTAAGCCGGGTATACACATATATTTTCTTTGTTCAACCTGTGGGCTGAACGAAGAAAATATAACATATTTCTCCATCAACGCTTATGAGCTTTGATCAGAGAATCCCCTGCTGTTTCTATTGTTTTTTGCAGCGGCACCAGCCCCTGTCAGAATACCCAAATGGAGCCTGCAGCTGATTGGCTGCCAGCTCTGTCCAGCCGAGAATTTTTAAACTGGCTTCTTCAACCAGCTGATCGAGGGATGCCGGCCAGAAGGGTGCCAACAGCAGCACCCACCTTGCAAATTTTGGCTGGTTTCAGAACCAGCCGAAATTCGATACGTCTGTACCTAGGTTTACTCTTTATGGTACCAAACTCTCAAACTTTTTAAATTATTTATTCCAGGTCAAACAAATATACATTGCCCTGCAAAGCATTTCTTTACATTTTTGCACAAGCATTTACAATCATCATTTATCAGAATACCTGGTTCCATCTCTCTCAGTTCCGCGTCCCTGAACTTCCTGTGTAATACAAGATCACAAAGGACAGAGCAGTCTCCAGGAGCTGTCCATCTACTAGCTTTGAGAAGAGAGGATGGAGGAGGATTGAGTGGCTTGCCTTGCTGTGTCTGTCTGTTTGTTTGTGGAGACACACACAGCTTACTAGCACACACAAGGGTGGCATTATTGGAACCTTGTAAGGGAAAGAAGCGCCCCTAAAACAGGCTAGTCACAGAGCTTGATGTCCATGTTTTGTAGAGCCACAACCTCCTGCCTAGATTCCTTTTAATGCTTTATTCTTTCTACCATTGCAGACATTGATGAGTGCAGATACAGATACTGTCAGCATCGTTGTGTTAATTCTCCTGGATCTTTTACCTGTCAGTGCGAGCCGGGATTTCAACTAGCATCTAATAACCGTTCATGTGTAGGTAAGAAACTCAAAATGTTTTATTTGTTTTGACAGATGAATAGGGTCCTGCAAATGATGATGTCTTTTCGTTTCAATAACTTTTTATTTGAGTTTACAGACGTTTACAACAATCAAACAATATACAAAATATGAAAATATAGAATCCAAAACTGACTAACAGCAATACTGAGAAATATCATAGCAGATACAGGCATATTAGCAAAACATATAAACATCTTTGGTGAAGGAGGAATAGTAGCAAGAACAATCCTTCATGATGGTGTCTTTTCATGCATGCACCATCTCTTTTCTACAGTCTCCATACATTTTGTCTTCAACAGCATTACATTAGTATAGCTGGAAAATAAATTGTTGGTGTAAAACCACAGAAATGTAATCTTACAACCAGCATCTGACTGTTGAGGTCATGTAATAAAACCTTGATCTGCTTTTGGAGGTAGAATACTTTCAATGGCAACAGGGACGTAACTAGAAATCACAGGGCCCCACCGCAATATTGTGTATGGGGCCCCCCAAACCACCCCTCCAGAATACGTTCCCATACCTGCACTGTCTCCGTGTCTTCATTTCTGCTCCTGCTGGCTCTGACGTCAGAGCTGAAGAAGAGATCACTCCGCTGCTTACTACTGCAGAGCCCACAATAGACCCCACACAGCCCCAGCTCACCTGACACCCTGCAGAGCCCACCATAGACCAAGCAGAGCCCGCTATAGATGTTGCACAGCCCACCATAGACCCCGCACATACCAGAGACCCTGCAGAGCCCACCTAAAACCCCACACATCCCACCTGAGAGTGACCCTGCAGAGCCCACCTGAGAGTGACCCTGCAGAGCCCACCTGAGAGGGACCCTGCAGAGCCCACCTGAGAGTGACCCTGCAGAGCCCACCTGAGAGTGACCCTGCAGAGCCCACCTGAGAGTGATCCTTCAGAGCCCACCTGAGCGTGACCCTGCAGAGCCCACCTGAGGACCCCAGACATACCAGAGACCCAACACCGTCCACATGAGAGTTACACTGCAGAGCCTACTTGAGACCCTGTAGAGACCAACATAGACCCCACAAAGCCCACTTGAGACCCCACACAGCCCACCTGAGAAACCGCGCAGCCCGCCATAGGCCCTGCACAGCCCACCTAAGACCCTGATGAGCCCACTTGAGACCCTGCACATACAAGTGACCCTGCAGGGCCCACCATAGATCCTGCACAGCCCACCTGAGACTCTCTATGGTGGGCTCTGCAGGGTCTTAGGTAGGCTGCTCTGGGCCCCCTTCCCTGCACATGCAGCTCCTCTTACCAGTCAGCCCGAGCCACCCGCTGCTGCAACCCAGCCTCCTCCACCACTGCCACCAGAGCACGTTGCTGGGCCCCGGCCTCCTCTACCTCTGCCGCCGGACCGGCGATGTTGGGCCCCGGCCTCCTCCTCTGCTGCCGGACCGGCGCTATTGGGCCCCTGCCTCCTGACTCTCTCTGCCCCTGAGGTGGTAGTTACGCCACTGAAAGGCAAGATACCAGAGTGCTGTCAAAACATGGGATAGTGGAAGTGCTTGTGTAAAGTCACAGTTAGGTAAAGGTTTGTATTTAACATCAGATTCATATATCTCATATATATTACATACATACACAGACCTGAGGCATCCCGGATTCCCATCTCCAACTGTCCCCTACCTCTTCCAGCGAAAGTGCAGTAATGACGCAGGGAGCCTGGCCCGCCCAGGCTTCCTGATTGGATGGGAAGCCGCAGCCATGCTCCCTCGCAGCACCAGGCATTAAGGACTGTGGCTGTTATGTGAGGAATGTAGGTGTCAAGTGCTACTGTGCACTGTATCGCTGAGCCAGTCACAGGGGGGTCTTTGTGATCTCTCCACCCACTCAGTGACTTAAAACACGGTGCCCGCTGTTGCAGTTTCAGTGTTGGGCTCAGGATGATTAGGGTGTGCCAACACACACCCGGCACACCCCATGTGCACGCGTACGCTTAGTAGGTCTATCAGGGTTTTAATTCTGTTTTAACCCTTCACCCCTTTATTTCAAATGTTCACGTTATGTTCCTGTTGGAGAGATTTCCATTCATGTCCTGTCTTAGTGACCCAGTCACTGGGACAGGGAGTAAGGTAAAAATGAAGTATATTATTGTAAGAATTTTGTATGTATTTTGGCTGGAGTTTCATGTCTATCTATCTATCTATCTATCTATCTATCTATCTATCTATCTATCTATCTATCTATCTATCTATCTATCTATCTATCATTGTTTGCAAAGTAAGGAGTACGAGATAAGGTTTCTTTCATGAAAGTTTCTCTTTAAAGTAGATATAAGCTTTAGTAAGTTAATGTAATATGAAACGTTTTTTAACATTTTTTTTTAAAGCTTTCATTAAAATATTACCAGGCACCTGCCATGAAGGTCCTTGTTCAGGCTCTTCCTGGTATTGGAAAACAACTGTTTCCCAACTGTGCTTCTGCATTGTTACTCTGTCACTTGCAACCCACCATGCTAGCACACATTGCACAAGCATGGTCCACTTTTGTCAGGAAGCTCTTCCAGGCCAAAAATGTGCAGCTGATCCTCGAGTGTATGCATATAGACAGGTAGTGGCTGATTCCGAGAGACAAAAAGGATGGAAGAAGGTGAAAGCAGTATTTCATGGGAAAATTATAATTGTGTATGATATACAGTGCTTTTACAAACTAAATGTAATCTAGTTAGGATCTAAATCTGGTTGAAAGTGTATGTAAACCCAAAATATGTTTTTCATTATGTTTGGCATCATGCCTCATACAGTTTTCTTAAGCAAATGATTTTTGGGAATCAATTGCAAAGTTTCTTACCCGGAGATCCTGACAGTAACAACACTTCCTGTTGCCGGCTGACAATTCTAAGCCACTTCCTCTCAATTAGCAGCAGTGTTGTGAGCCTGCTTCTTCATGTTCCTTCAGTTGGCTGATGGCCCAATGGCTGCCTGAAGGAGCTCACACACCATACTAACTACGTTGCTGCTAATTGGGAGGCATTGGCTTAGCATTGTCAGCCTGCAACAGAATACATTTGTTAAAGTGACAATACAAGAAAAATCAGTTAGGGAACCCCATTAGAACATACCCCCCACACACACTATTATCACCTGGTCCTTCTTCTACATTTGCACCAACCTACAAAACAGCTTTGTACCCCCAGCTACCCTGTGCCATATCAGCAGAGACCCCCAACCTCTATATATTTTGATAATCATCATTCTTTGCCCTTTTAGGCACATTTTCATGCACAGAAAGGATAAAGGATACTAGAATAATATTATTAATTATAATAATAATGTATGAATATATTTGTATGGAATATATTTATACAAAAGATTCTTTCTTCCATTTTCAATTAAAAGAAATATACTATTTTGTTCCTTTCTGCCGTTGGTTGTAATCTTTCCACTAAGCCATGAGATGTAAAACACAGTATCTTTTCTTATAACTCTCTTTCCTTTGCTTAGAAGACAGTTTGGATGGTAACAAGAAATATCTGCATTCTTTAAACAATAATTTTTAACTAAAAGCAGTTACATAAGATTTAATAGCTATATAGAGGACTTGATATTTAGCAGACTTTGCTAAAGGTTATTATATAATCATCAATTTACAACATGGTTGAATTATGGTTTTGGAAGGTTACGGAAAATAGGGTCTTGTTTAGTTGGAATAAGAGATTTCAGGAAGTAGCAGAGTTGTACATGCTACATGAGTTTGTGGAAGTGTTGGAAAGGACCAGCGGAAATAGACTACTCTGCAGAGTCATCATAACAGGCCCCTGGAGAGTATTTCTGGCAGAGAAAGGGCTATGAAGTCATGCATAAAATGGTGGGAATTCTGAGATGTCAAACTCAGAGACAGCTAAGTGTGGTTTGGCAGTCCTCCAGAAAAGCTTATGCTGAACCATTTATTGTGCAAGACACAATGAGACACATTTTAAAAAACATTTCTCATGTTTATTGCCTTAATTAAAAGAATATGTTACTCACAGTGCTCTTATCATTTACAGATGTCAATGAATGCTCAATGGGCGCTCCATGTCAACAGCGCTGCTATAACACCTATGGCACCTTTCTCTGTCGTTGTAATCAGGGTTACGAGCTGGATCATGATGGCTATACCTGCAATGGTAAGCAACCCTATGCTGTGTTATGTTATTATATACTGTTATTTCAGCATAGCTAATTAGGGTTCAGTCTTCAGCTGATTCAATACACAATCTGATTGGTCCATTCTTCAGAAGATAGCATTCACCATATAGAGAAATAAATGTGGTTGTGTTGGTGTAAATGTTTTCATAACCTGGTTTTATCATTGAAAATATTTAATATCTTATGTCTTTAAGTTTTGCCCGGGGTTGAACAAATGAGACAAAAGGCCTCATATGTTGGCCCTGCAGTTTCGTCCATTGAGGGACACAGGAATTCTATTACAGTCAAGGCTAAAAAGCCTATTCATTATGACAGTTTTGCAGATTAAGGCCACCACCAGAAAAGGATGGAGAGGCCGAGTCAATTCAAACTGTGATTTGAGGAGAGAATTTAGCTGTCTGTCAAATCCCTAAAGGTGAGAACACCTCTAACCCATCTAGTACTATGTTTACACGCATAACAGGTGCATCTAAGGTGGGAAGAGACCACTGACTGGTAAACTCCCTCTCAAAAGGAAAGAGCTCTGACACACTGTCATCAGGAGCCCATGACCCTTCAGGGTGTTTCCAGTTCTCATAGATGAAGGACTCAAACAAGGGAAGCATTGCAACCATCTTAGCAGCTGAAGGAGCTCTAAAAGACCATAGGCATGGAAGAACAGGCTGATCCTCAAGTTGCAGGGTAGTACACATTGCATCAATCAAATTTGAGACCACCCCTTGTAAATCGGCATCAGTAGTAGGGGGTTCAAAGTCAGACTCTGAATAGGAGATCCATCTCATTTGCCTTTTGGAGCTACGAGAGACTTAAATAAAGAAGATCCAAGGTGCCTAAAAAAATATTTGCAAAAAACTACTTGAAGATACCAGAAAAACACAGCCAGATCCAATAGGGGACTATGGACTAAGGTCACCTGTTACTCAAACCGTCTTAAGAGATAGGGTCACACCTGGGGCTGCTGCATGGCTCTGCACCTGGAAAGTACCCTGTGACTGACCAACAGTACACTCAGGTCCAGAAAGCACCATATACAGAGCCCAGTGCATTAAGGTCACATTTCAGGCTAACCCCGCATTTGTAGTCCAGCAGGTATGGCCTCCAAAGTTAGAACAAAGGAGCTGCCAATCCAGAAAGATGCTTACTGGAGTCCAGTCTAAGCAGCAGTATAGCATGGAGTCGTGATTGATGTCATGGAGGATAAAACAGCAGTGTAGTGAATAAGTCTTGATTGAAGTCACCAGTGTAGAAAGATAGCAAAACAAAAATAGACTTTATTTAACAGAGCTGAAGAAAAGGTGTCAAACCTCCTAGGACACTTGCAAAAAAAAAATCAAGGCATGCTATGTAGAGTATGTGTTATAGGGGCTGGTTTGCCTGTGTCCAAACCTCCCAAAGGTGGCAGCATCACCTGTTATAGAATTCCTGTGTCCCTCAATGGACAATAAAGAAAATTTTGTTTTATTATCTGAATTGCTGCTAATGGGCAAGCTAAGTAATCTCCTACACATACTCCCAGAATAATTTGTGGTCTGTAGATCCTTTGCCTTAAAATGACTGGGAGCCAGAGGAGACTGTGCTGGATCTGTGCACACTTCCCCACACTGACAAACATAGCATATTGAGAAGGAGGAGTGGTCACACATGGCTTCTAATTTTGGAATTCTTTCATATCTAAATGACAAAGAGCAATATTGGGAGATTAAATGATTGCTGTATTTGTGAGATTTTACCGGTATTATATTATTACCAGTTTAAATGTAAATTATGCTTAGCAGATTACTCTTTAATGTTGGTGTGCTTGTATCTTACTAATACATTGAAATTGTAAATTCAAAGATATTGATGAGTGCAGTTACTCCAGTTACCTGTGCCAGCATCAGTGTGTGAATGAACCTGGACGTTTTTCCTGCATTTGCCCTGAGGGATACAGTTTACTAGGCACCCGCATCTGCCAAGGTAAGATCACACAAAAATATTGGTAAACTGTGCCCTGTGTGTATTGTCTTTTCATTAAAGGGATTATCCATTCACATATATTTGGTCTTTATCCAGAGGCGTAACCAGAAACCTGAGGGCCCTGGTGCAAAAAACTATTAAGGCACCACCACCACCACCACCACCACCACCACCACCATAAAAACCCATGATTTTTATACCTTATTTTTTTATTAAATAGTATGTATGTTAAGACTTTTAGGGCTAGTTCACACCAGTTCCAGTACGTTCCGGCCCAATTCAGTGCCAGAACGCACTGGATCGCTGCCGGTTCACTGCGTTCTGGGGTGGGAGGGGACGTGGCGGTGCATTTAAGTCAATGGCACCGCAGGCATGCCCCCCGGCCGCAGTGCGATCACCCGCACCTGAACGCATGGCAAATCAATGCCAGCGTTCTGGTCCTCTCTGGGCCCCCCCAACTGGCGGAACACCAGGACCCGGTCACAAATACGGCCGGCGCAACCCTGGTAGTTTCGCCAGTGCCAGTATCTGGCATTTGTATCGGGGCATTTTCACGAGTAGGAGCACTCATACTCGTGAAAATGTCCATTATTTGCACTGGTGCCTCCCTACTTAATAATATAATGTATTGCTGGGACTTGTAGTCCTGCATAGTTGGTGCTATTCTGCATTGCTGTATAATCATTATATAGCAATGCTGAATACCACCAGCTATGCATACATATACAAGTCCCAGCAATACATTCTAATGTAAATGGTATCAATAGCTTCTCCCCACCTTCCTGGTCCAGCCTTCACCCACACCAGCCTTACCTGACTCCTGCAGCAAGTACTTCGTTTTGGCTGCCAGGGGGTGGGACTAAGTGTAGAGGGTCCTCTCCCAACAGCTGAATGTGCTGCCTGGTGGTGCCATCAATGTCGGTAGCGGCTCTGACAGGTGACAGACACAGCCTCCTCTCCATCCCTGCACAGCTGCCCGTTGCCCGTACATGCCCTGCTTCTCCTGCTGCGGGTGGCAGAGCTTGGGTGGGGGGAGGGTGCGGCACTATCTGTGGGGGGGCAATTGCGGCGGCATGAGGGAGCTGCGGGCCCTCTTCTTCCTCTCTGGGCAACCCCCCCAACAGGGGGAACACCAGGGCCCGGTTGTAAATGCAACCGCTGCGACCCTGGTAGTTCCGCCATTGTCTTTATCATACACTTGAATAAATAAGTAGTTGAACTTAAAACGTATTGAGTATACAAATGGTTTTATTCAAGTGGACAGAGCAGCATACATCAGCTGATAACGTCCGATTTCAAGTCATATCATGCTTGTTTGGTACCCTCAGTATTATTGAGAAATCCTAATTGTGTTTGTGATGAGTTCAGTGCAGTAAAAACACCAACCATCAGCACTGTGTGATTAATGGGAACTTGTCATAGGTTTTGCACTACTGACCAATTCTTCTGAAAATGCTTGTTTCCTGTCTGTCATAGTGATAGATTGGCCTCAATGCTTTCAGAGCCACTGACCTGGAACATATATAGAGGGTAGAAGGAATTCTGACACTTTTCAGATACTCATCTACAGCTTGTTTCTTTCAGCTTTGTGACTCAAGTGCATTGACACCAAACACCGCCAAGAAAAAAGCATTTTGTAGAAGGATACAGTTTTTAGAAGCATGGCAGCCCCATCACTTTAAAAAGAAGTGTATTGTCTTTTGAAGGATTTATATAAATATTCTTATTATTATGTAAAAAGAACAATTTGATGTAAATAATCTTATTATTGTGTTAATGTTTTAAATACAGACATAATTTCCATTATGTCTATGCATGGTGGAAGCAATATTTACCCATTATATATGCAGGCTGGGCTTCCTGATTTACAGTGTTTTCTGCTCCTTCTCACAGTACATGTCTATCAGTGGTCAACTCAATTTCCTCTCGTTCATTCCGTAAGCTGAAGGAGAAAACATTTACTGATTTCCCTATCAGGAATCTTCCCTGCAGGACATTGGATTTAGCAATCGCAGCACCCTGCCTGAATATATTGGGACTGCTGAACAGCGATTGCATCTGACCAGGGCCGTTGCTAGGATTCGTGCCTCCACAGGCAAGGTGCATTTTTGCTCCCCCCTCCCCGACCCCAAATTTAGCTGGCCGGCGACTGCCTGAGGTGCCGCACGTGTCGGGATCCTCAGGCAGTCGCCGGCCA